TACCACATTTTTTTAATCCAGTCCTCTTTTGCTGGGCAGCATGGTTGTTTCCAGGTTCTTCTTAGGCCAGATACTTTGTATCGATAGTGGCCGGGAGAGGAAGCTAGGGAGTGGCACCTGTCAGGTAAGGAAGAGGAAAGGACTGAGACTGTGGACTTGTTTTCAGGGAGGCTGTTGGTTGGCATGAAGGTGTGGCAGCTGGGTGAGTTCCTGCAAGTTTGCGTCTGATTTCCTCTGGGCTGGGTTGTGACTCCCCGTGAGGGCTGGATTGTTGGACACTTCTGGGGGCTCTGCTGCAACCACTTTCTGTTGTGCTAGAAGTTTATTTCATCCAGAGCCACTGGGTAGCCCACTGCATGGTTCCTTTGCTGCTGGCCTGAGCAACCACCCCGTGTAGCTGGGTCCAGAATGCTTGCTTTCCGCCCTTTCCTACTGTGCCAGAGGGATGGCCACAGGGTCTAGGAACCAAGGAGGAAGCAGGGGTGCCAACCGGGGGCCTACCCTCATTCACAGCCCAAGGCAGGCACTTCCTGCACTTAAACATGCAAGCACATGTCCGACACGCATGAATAGGCACAGCCCTTGGGAGACCTGCAGCACTCAGCCACAATGACTTCAAAGCACAAAACCATGAAGAAAAACAACTAAGTACTTTTGTTTTTAATCTGCACTCACTGTGGATTGTATGCCTCAGACCAGCCCAACCTAGGGACTGGAGTGACATTTCTATGAGCCCCTTGTGCTGCTTTTTAATATGATATTCTTTGCTCAGAAAGGAAATGGTATTTCTCTTCCCGCTTCCCTGTTCCCACCCCACCCCTTAGGGATTCCCCTGACTTAGGGAAAATCCCAACACCTAATAAGTTGAGGAGAGGAGTAGAAAGCAGCTTGCCTTCCACCCACACATTTTTTCCCACCCAGGTTTGGTGTGCCAGCTAGAAACACTCTTCTGTGTAATAAACAAGTGATTCTGTCCATTCACTTCAGCATCATGTCCTCCTCCTTTTCTCCTGCTCTGAGAAGACAGCCCTGAGCTTGCCTGGCAGGTACCTCCAGCCCTGACTTCAGCCTCCTCTCAGACTTTTGCATCCATACCTTCTATTTCTGGCCTTCGGCCTCTGGTTTTCTTGGCCTATGGCCCAAGATTTCTATTGCTAGTATCCATGCATCTACCTATGCCTTTTAGGTGACCTTAGGAATGGGCAGGATGCTGAAATGTTTTTTGAGGCTAGAAAGTCAAGCTTAAGAATGTACTTCCAGGTTGGGCTTGATGGCTCAAGCCTGTAATCCCAGCACTTTGGGATGTAGAGGCAAGCGGATTGCCTGAGCCCAGGTTCAAGACCAGCCTGGGCAATTTGGTGAGACCTTGTCTCTACAATAAATCACCTGGTGGCACATGCCTGCGGTCCCAGTTACTTGGATGGCTGAGGCGGAAGGATCACCTGAGCCCAGCAGGTCGAGGCTGCGGTGGCCATGAGCATGCCACTGCACTCCAGCCTGGGTGACAGAGTGAGACTCCAACTCAAAAAAAATAAAAGAATATACTTCCTAGGGTACAAAAGTTGCAGTCTTGCCCATAGAGAATTTATTCCCAGCACCTCGTCAGGGGTACAGCTGATTTGCTACGCCCTTAGCCCATACTCCCATGCATGATAGGTGAGAATGGACATGGAGGAGAGAAGCTGGCCTCTTGCAAGACTGCTAGGTGAAGAGACGTGAACTGGGAGGTGTGGGCTTGCCCTGGATGAGGGTCTGCATTTCTCCTTCTCCCCCTGCAGCCCTGGCCCGCCACCGCTACATGAAGCAGGCAAAGGCCCTAGGTCCTCAGATGATGGAAAGACCCCCGTACTGGGGGGCGGACAGGAGCTCCCTGGTTTCGTCTTATCCAATGAACCCGCTGCTGCAGCGAGGTAAACCTTGCCAGAGATTTGGGGTCCGGGAGGGCAGAGGGCAAGGATAAGAGCATGGGGCTCCCCTGACACATATGGTGGGCTTCTTCATGACTGAGGGTGGGAGGGAGTGGAAGCAAGCTCAGTACCGCGACGTTTTGATGTCCTGATTCTGAGGAGCTGTGTGGGCCAGCCCTTCTGCATGTTCTGTTCTTGTTCCCATTTAGAGCTGTCCCTGCGGTCCAGCCTCCCACAGATGCCAGTGACCCAGACTGCCGCCCACCCTCCCATCCCCAATGGTGTCCTGGAGTATTTGGAGAAAGAGCTGCGGAACCTCAATCCGGCCCAGCCTCTGCCGCCTGACCTCAAAGCCAGACTCGGCCATCCCCGCAGCATGCTGTCCTCCCTGGGCTCTGAGGTCGTGGAACGCAGAATCATCCGCCTGCCCCCGCTGACCAGAGACCTGCCCTCCTCGAGGAGGACCAGCGACTCCTCGCGGCAGCAGTGGCTCACCCCAATTCCTTCCAGACCCTGGGATCTGAGGGAGGGGAGAAGGCAGCACCATTACCCTGATTTCCACCAGGAGCTCCAAGACCGGAGGCCAAAGCCTTGGGTGCTGGCAAGAAGCGAGCTGGACCCCCCGTGGAGTGGAGGGCACCGCAGCTCCAGGCCGAATGGATCGCCCCTCCCCTGGTCGGACAGGGAGAGCCTCAGCGACGGCCCCTCGTCCAGCGAGGCGCACTGGCGGCCCAGCGGCCCCCCTTTCGGGAGTCGCCATCCGGAGAGGCCCCGCAGGCCCGGCCCGCGGGAGAACCCCCAGAGGCACGGGAGGCGCAGGCACCGCAGCTACTCCCCTCCCCTGCCCTCTGGCTTCAGTTCCTGGAGCTCCGAGGAGGAGAAGGAGAGGCAGCCCCGGAGCCGGGGCCCCCGTCGCCGCTCGCACTCCCCGAACTGGCCGGAGGAGAAGCCGCCTAGCTACCGCTCGCTGGATGTCACTCCAGGCAAGAATGGCAGGAAAAAAGGGAGTGTGGAGAGGCGCTCGGTGAGCCTGGGGCATCCTGCTGAGGGTCGGGCGTGGGCAGAGAGGACCCTCCAGCCGGGATTGGCCACGGGGGGCACGGGCCGCCTCACATGCCACCGCTGACGGTGCCTCCTCCTGTTTTGCATAAATGGCATTGTGGTTTGAGGCCCTAGTGAACTATGATCGGGCCACTGCACGCAGACTAGGGGAAAAGGAGACACTGCGGGCTGGGTGGGCCTCCTCTAGTTAGAGCTAAAGGACCCAGTGAGGCCAGGGTGCCAGGCAGAGCAGAGTGCAGGGTCTCCTGGCAGTCCTGCGAGGCAGGTCCGGCAGGGTCCGGGTTCACAGATGAGGAAATGAGGCTCAGAATGGGTAAGCACCTGTGAATAGCGGGGCTGGGGCCTGAATGCAGGCCTTCACAGCTAAAGCTTGACCTCTTTTCGCAGCTGCCTTGCTTTACTTAGCAACTGTATTTCCATACCCCAAGTTAGAACATTCAGCCTGACAGAAAACGTCAAGTCAACACGCAAGACCCTGGTATATGTGAGGTTGAGGCCCTCCAAGACACATCCTGGAAAGGATCATTACACTGAGTTAAAGAAAGGAAACATAAAACTCTGATCTCCCAAATACGGGTCAAAGCTTTAGGATTTTGTGGAAAGGCAAGGTGTGGGTGGGTGCAGGTGTAGCTTACTAGCCTCAAAGCAGAACACAGGAGGATGTAGGCCTTGGAGGCCTCTGGATACAGACCTTTCCTTTTTCTTAAAGAAGATACTTTAAGCTGGCTCATAACTGTAATCCCAGCACTTTGGGAGGCAGAGGCAAGAGGATTGCCTGAGCTCAGGGGTTCGAGACCAGCCTCGGCAACATGGCAAGACCTCATCTCTACAATAAATCAAAAAAATTAGCCAGACATGGTGGTGTGCACCTGTAGTTGCAGCTACATGGAAGGCTGAGGCAGAAAGATCGCCTGAGCCTATCAAGCAGAGGCTGCAGTGGCCGTGAGCGTGCCACTGCACTCCAGCCTGGGTGACAGAGTGAAACTCTGACTAAAAAAAAAAAAAAAAGATACTCTTTTAAAAAATCTTATAATCAATACATCCAAATGACAGCGTTCCATAATGTGGCTGTTTTGCAAAGATATGCTGCCACTGTTCCAAAACGCCAATGAACTGCCTCAGAGTCAACTTGCAAGCTACCCATGAAAACCTTTTCTCTATTTGACCAATATCCTTTTCTCTTTTCGTTTGGTTGAGACAGTCAAAGGGATTAGCAGTAGGTCTGGGGAAGTTATCAGAGTAGAGGGATATTATGAAAAGAAGAATTGTAGTCTCTTACAGGCTTTGAGAGGTATATATTCTGCTGTGATTTTTTTTTTTTTTTTGAGTCGGAGTCTCACTCTGTCACCCAGACTGGAGTGCAGTGGCACACTCAAGGCCACTGCAGCCTCAACCTGCTGGGCTTAGGCGATCCCTCCGCCTCAGCCTTCTAAGTAACCGGAACTACAGGCACACACTACCACACCTGGCTTATTTTTTGATTTATGGTAGAGACGAGATCTCACCAAGTTGCCCAGGCTAGTCTCAAACCCCTGAGCTCAGGCAATCCTCTCACTGCAGCCTCCCAAAATGCTGGGATTACAGGCTTGAGCCATCACACCCAGCGATTTTTTAAAAAAAATTAATCACACATGTGGTGTGTGCAAAGATGCAGGGCTCTCAGGAGAGCCACAATGCTGCTCTTTCTAGAGCAGAACCTCAATGAGAGAGAAACTTATGAGGAAGGTAGCGGAGACCAGCACACATTTCTGAAGTAATCAATGTCAATTGCGTCATCCTCTCACAGAGGTCTCATGAGAGACAACAGTGATAGTGAAAATAGCTTCCCCTTACCAAGTGGTACTGAGCTGTAAATGTCTCATACAACATCTTATTTAATCCTCACGACAACCCTGTGAGGTTTGTACTGTTATCCTCATTTACAGATGATAGAGCTATTTCTTCCATGTTACCAGTAAGAAAATTACATCCTGAGAGAAACAGTCAAGACTGGGACAACTGCAGTTACTTTACACATATAGTGACTAAACCGTGTCTCTTCATTTTAACAGAAAAAAGTAATAATTTAAAGACCAGCTTGGGGCACCAAATCTAAACCCTATTTTCTTCTAAGTTAAATTATTTTATTTTATTGATTTTCTTTTTTTTTTTCTGAGTTAGAGTCTCACTCTGTCACCCAGGCTGGAGTGATCCTTCCACCTCAGCCTTCCAAGTAGCTGGAACTACAGGTATGCACCATCACACCTGGCTAATTGTTTAATTTATTGCGGAGATGAGATCTCGCCAAGTTGCCCAGGCTGGTCTCAAACGCTGAGCTCAGGCAATCCTTTCACCTCTACCTCCCAAAGTTCTGGGATTACAGGTGTGAGCCACCACACCTGGCCTTTTTCTTTATTTAAGTTAAATTATGTGGTATGATGACTACTTGTACACCTAATCCTGAAGTATACCCCACATCTTTAAAATAAAATAAAAAAAAAATTATGTGGTTTCTTGCAAGTGAGTGAAGGGTAAGAGGAACACCAATTATGTCCTAGATGTAATTATTGGGGATAAGGCCTTTCCAAGCCTTATTTGATTTAATCTTCACAACAATGAGGCTCCTAGAGACTGAGTGACGCGCCCAAAGCTCCTAGAGACTGAGTGACTGCCCATAGGGAGTGAAGCCAAAGTTTGAACATAGCCCTTTGTCTCTCAAGCCTGTGCCCTTTTCAATAATTCACGTCACACTGCCTCCTTAGAAAAATAAAAATATTGGGGGCCAGTGTTATTTTCTATGACATTATTGTTTTCTCATTTTCTGAAAGTATTACAGCTTTCTTTGTCATCAAGGTGTATACAACAATAATATACCACAAGTAGGCCAAATTTTCAGTTTGTAAAGTCGCTGGGCATGGTGGCTCACTCCTATAATCCCAGCACTTTGGGAAGCTGAGGCAGCAAGGGTTGCTTGAGTCTAGAAGTTTGAGAACAGCCTGGGCAATATAGCGAGACCCAGGAAGCTGAGGCAGAAGGATCACTTGAGCCTGGGAAATGAAGGCTAAGCCTTGATTGTACCACTGCTTTCTAACCTGGGCGACAGAATAAAAACCTGTCTCAAACAAAAAACAAAAAACCCACAAAAACAACAACAAAAAAATTGTAACATCACTCTTGAGAAGCAAAAATTTTGTTCAAGATTGTTGTAAAAGCCTCCTTTGTTTTGAGTCTCTTTGAGCTTATCTCCCAAAGAATTATTACTTTATCACATTCAACTTTCCATTCATATTCTGACAGTGTGACCAGAGGCTTAGGACCAAAGTTTCATGTTGCTGACTGGTTACTTTGAAGGGTACAGAGTTTTGTTTGTTTTGTTTTGTAACTTGAATTTTGAATGCCTCTATTGAGGCCAAAGTCTCCAGGGCCAAAGTCTTGCATTTCCCTCCTCTCCTTGATGAGGCTGGATGTTTTCCACACAGGTTGCCTTTCTAACCTCTGAAGTCATTGAAACTTGTAGTGAAATTCAGAGACCATCATAAAATTGGGCCTCTAGATGGTGATCTTTGATCATGTAGCACTTGAAGTTTCTGTTTACTCCTTGAATTGATAAGATACATCACTATATTTTTAAAGTAGGCTTTCAGCACTTACAGTTTACCTTAACTTTTTATAAGATATTTATCTAAAATTCATTATTTAAGGCTGGGTGCAATGGTTCATGCCTATAATCCCAGCACTTGGAAGGTTAAAGCAAGAGGGTTGCTTGAGTCAAGAGTTCAAGACCAGCCTGGGTAACATAGTGAGACTACATCTCTATAAAAAAGCAAAAAATTAGCTGGGCATGGTGGTACACGCCTGTAGTCCCAGCTACTTGGGAGCCTGAGGCAGAAGGATCACCTGAGTCTGCAGTGAGCTGTGATTGTACCAGTCTGGGTGACAGAGAATCCAACTGAAAAGAGAAAGAAAGGAAAGAATAAATAAATAAATAAATAAAAACAGAAAAAAGAAAAAGGAAAACGAAAGAGAGAGAGAAAGAAATATGTTATATAATTTTAGTATTTGTAGAATATGAATTAAACAAAAGACATTTGGTTCATATGAAAGCTTCTCTTTCAAGAGTAATGTTTAACAAATAGATATTAGCAAACAAAGGTTTTCACACAGATGATCTCATGGGAACCTAAAACAAGTAAGAACTGTATTCTGTGTGGTGCCTATGAGAACATGGAAATTATGTTGAGGGATCTCCTCCCCAGAGAGCAGCCAGGATCTTCTCCATGCGGGTCTGGTAGTCTTCTCCCTCCACTAAAGCTACAACCCCAGAAATATAAGGAGCAGAAACTTCAAGCTTTGAAAGCCAGGTGCAGTGACTCACACCTGTAATTCCAGAACTTTGGGAGGCTGAGGTGAGAGAATTGCCTGAACCCATGGGTTTGAGACCAGCCTGAGCAATTTGATGAGACCTTGTCTCTACAATAAATCACATACACACACATACACACACACACATACACACTAGCCAGGTGTGGTGGCACACGCCTGTAGTTTCAGCTACTTGGAGGACTGAGGCAGTAGGATCACCTGAGACCAGCAGATCGAGGCTGCGGTGACCGTGAGCATGACACTGCACTCCAGCCTGGGCAACACAGTGAGACTCCAACTCAAAAAAAAAGAAACTTCAAGCTTTTAATTCAGTGATTACAGACTGAGTGGCTCCTGTTCCTAGCCTCCTTTAAACTGACAATCTTTCTTCCCAGTCTTATCCTAAGGCAGCAGTCCCCAGCCTTTTTGGCATCAAGAACTGGTTTAGTGGAATACGATTTTTCCATGGACCCAGCTTGGGGTGGTGGGGATGACTTTGGGATGATAGAAGCACATTACATTTATTGTGTACTTTATTTCTGTTATTATTATGCTGTAATATTTTAATGAAATAATTCTACAGCTCACCATAATGCAGAATCAGTGGGAGCCCTGAGCTTGTTTTCCTGCAACTAGACGATTCCATCTGGGGGTGATGGGAGACAGTGACACCCGAAGTGTGTTGCTTATGTCCAGTTTTCTCTGTAATCTCGTTTTGGTTTGTGTCACTGCAGAAAACCCTGCTTCACAAAGGTAGGATGTTGGAAATGGAAGCAGGCTTTTCAGGGCTGATCCGACAGGAGATAATGCCAGCAATGGGGAGCGACTGTAAGTACAGATGAAGCTTCACTCCCCTTGCCTGCCGCCTGGCTCCTGGTGTGTGACCCAGTTCCTAACAGGCCACAGACCACTACAGGTTCCTGGCCCAGGGATTGAGGACCCCTGCCCAAGGTATTTCTGGCTGGTCCAGTACTTGGCCTGTTCTAATATAAGAGAAAACCACTGTGTTCTTTCTTTTCCAAGCAAAAATCAAACTTTTTGTAGAAAATTCCAGTGCACTCTCTCTCTTTCTCTTTTTGTTTGTTTTGTTTTGGAGATAGTATCTGGCTCTTTCACCCAGGCTGGAGTGCAAAGATGATGTCATAGCTCAGTGCTGTCTCAAACTCCTGGGCCCAAGTGATTCTCCCACCTCAGCTTCTCAAATAGCTAGGACTATAAGCATGTACCACCATGTCTAGCTAATTTTCTTATTTTTTTTGTAAAGATGGGATCTCAGTATATTTCCCAGGGTGATTCTTTTTTCCTTGATGTTTTGATTTAATTTAAAACATTATATCAGGCTTCTTTTTATTTTTTGAGTTGAAGTCTTACTCTGTCACCCAGGCTGGAGTGCAGTGGCACGCTCACAGCCATTGCAGCCTTGATCTACTGGGCTCAGGTGGTCCTTCCATCTCAGCCTTCCAAGTAGCTGGAACCACAGACACGTGCCACCACGTCTGGCTAAGTTTTGGATTTATTGTAGAGACGAGGTCTCACCATGTTGCTCAGGCTGGTCTCGAATCCCTGAGCTCAGGCAATCCTCTTGCCTCCACCTCCCAAAGTGCTGGGATTACAGGTGTGAGCCACCATGCCCAGCAGGCTTCTTAACCTTCTACTTTCGATAAAGTGTCCACTCCTTGAGTATGCCTGAGTTTTCCTTTAGCAAGCTCTGGACTAGTTCCTTTGACCTCATTTCCTTGTTTTCCTTTGTGTCAGGGCATATTTAACCAATAGCATTTTGATTAGAAACCATGACCCTAAAACTCACTTTCCTGAAAAATTGGAAACAGTTTTTTTAAATAATAGCAACATGAATGCGTGTGTGTGTGTGTGTGTGTGTGTGTGTGTGTGTGTGTGTATACCTTTCAAACATTTTTTTTTTTTTTTAGTTGAAATCTCACTCTGTCATCCAGGCTGGAGTACAGTGGCACACTCACGGCCACCCCAGCATCAACTTGCTAGTCTCCAGCGATCCTTCCACCTCAGCCTTCCAAGTAGCCAGAACTACAGGCGTGCTACCATGCTTGGCTAATTTTTAAAATTTATTGTAGAGACAAGATCTAGCCAAGTTGCCCAGGCTGGTCTCAAACCACGGGCTCAGGCAGTCCACTCACCTCGGCCTCCCAAAGTGCTGGGATTACAGACTGAGCCACCAGGCCCAACCTCAAATAGAATATTTTAGGACAGATACCTTAACTTCCTAGTTCAAATAAGAAGAGGTCACCGGCTGGGCACAGTGGCTCATGCCTGTAATTCCGACACTGTGGGAGGCCGAGCCAGGAGGATTGCTTGAGCCCAGGAATTCAAGACCAGCCTGGGCAATATAGCGAGACATCATCTCTATAAAAAATCAAAAAAATAATCAGATGTGCTGGTATGTGCCTGTAGTCCCAGCTACTTAGGAAGCTGAGGCAAAAGGATCACTCTGAGCCTAGGAGGTCAAAGCTGTGGTGAGCCATGGTCATGCCACCGCACTCCCACCTGGATGACAGAGTGAGACCCTGACTCAAAAAAAAAAAGATGAGGTCACATTCATGCACAACAACTGTAAATATTCAAAGCTTAAATAAAATTATCCCCTATAATACATAGTTAGAGAAATATGAGAAATGTAAATCGTAGTTTTTATCTTCAATGAACAAGTGGAAAAAGCCCAAAGACCAGGTAGAATAACTTTTGAAGAAAAAGCCCCTGAGTTTGATCAGGAGGAGGTAATTAGTGATCCCTGAAAAATAACTTCAGAGAAATACTAAGGTATAAAGGACTTAAGTCTGTAAGACAAGGACAGCAAAAAAAAAAAAAAAAAAAAAAAAATGGTTCAGGAGCCTTCAGATAGGAAAAAGACAACTGGGCCATGTCTTCATGAGCGAATGGTAGGGTGGTAGAGAGATGGACTGATGGATGGAACAGGGTACCTTTTACTATTCTAAAGGAGACTTGAAGATTTTTTAAAAACAGAGCAAGAGGCAAAGTGAATAAGACTGTAAGAAATTCTCAGAAATTTTAAAGGTGTTTGAGGGAGACTCTAGAAAGATAGACAAGAAGAGAAATGTAAACCTGGGGGGAAGAGACTGTTCCATGAAGAGTCCAGAAATATTTTTAGGTTTAGATCTGCTGTCCTGGCAGCTGCAACGCACTCAGGATTTGTGACTCAAGCTCACCTCGCATGTTGTATGTGTGGGTAGTTGATTCCGGCTGACTGGATTTTTTTGTGTTCTATTCCCCAGGAGAGAGACAGTTCCCATAGTGGAAGGAGTGTGGTCATTTAGTCCCCGGTCACAGCACAACTTCCGTGGCTACTTCTCAGCTCCTGTGTGTCATCAGCATCACCTAGATTTCCAGCTGACTTGGAAGGGAACTAACTGCAAGTCTGTATCTAACAGTTTTGACTTAGATTCTGAGAATCAAATAGAAGAATTTTAAAAACTAGAGTTTGAGGAATGAATGACTGTAGTTGTAGAGTTGGTTCATATTCTACATATTTACATGGTCTCTGACTGGTAATGGACCCACCTGGGATGTGAATCCTCAGGAACTTCGTAGCCTGAGTCTTTCACTAGGTCACACTGCCCAGGGCCATGGCCATTCTCCCAGTGAGAACTCAGGAACCTTTAAGAAGAAATCAAACACGTTTCAGAAGTATTATAGTTCCCATGGGAATTTGTCTCCCTCTGTGTCATATTTCGAGAGTCCGTCCATGTTTGGAATTTGTCCTGTTGCCCCCATGCCCAGTCCTGAGCATTCCTGAGGTTCTAGTCAGAGATGGCACAGGAGATACTCCAGCCATGTGCCCTCTCATGAGCCGTTTATTGTTAAGTGTAGACAATCACAGGGAAGCAGTTTTGCACCAGCCTTACTCCTGTGCCTGGTTTCCCTCTTGCTCTTTCTCCCCTTACAGCTAATTTAAATGTTCTTATATATTATGTATCTATTAAAATAACTTTACCTGTAATCCCAGCACTTTGGGAGGCTTAGGCAGGAGGATTGCTTGAGCCCAGGAGTTCGAGACCAGCCTGAGCAACATAGCATGGCCTCATCTCTACAAAAATTTTTTTTTATTAGCCAGGCATAATGGTACATGCCTGTAGTCCCAGCTACTCAAAAGACTGAATTGGAAGGCTCACCCGAGCCCAGGAGGTCTGGGTTGCAGTGATTGTGGCACTGCATTCCGGCCTGAACAACAGAGTGAGACCCCAACTGTGAATAAACAAATAAAATAACTTTAAATACTTTCTGGAGGCAACACACATAGTATGTAAATAAATAAGAAAGCAATAAAATTTACCAGGCTAAGGATTCCGCTCCAAATAAAATATCTGCTTTTCTACATTGGTACATTTGTTTGGATGAAACCTTCTTCACAAAAGCTCAGAGAAGAGCCAGGCCAAGTTGGGTGGTTTGGGAGTGACCATTCTGGCACTACTCAGCCTTTTCAGAGTTGAGGTTTCTCAAAAGAAGCATCCAGTTAGATCTTGCCACTCCAAGAGCCCCAGGAAGAAAGGGCTGTGTCCTCCCTATCATAGACTCCACCCCTCCCATTTTCCTCATCCCTTTTGGAGGCTTCATGAATCCATCTGTGTTTGATATAGAGACCTGCCCTGAGCAGACTAGAAAAAGATGGCCTGAGTGGAGGAGTGTGAATGTGTGTATGTATATGTGTATTCCTCAACAGTATTTTTATGTGCTCAATTCAAAGCCTATTGTATTGATACATCCATTTTTTCCCAGTCTCATTCATTTAATTACACATCAGACTTCTTACAGGTTTTTTTATATCCATATACAACTAGGTCTAAATTAGCAAAGTGCTGGGATTACTGGTTCCTCCTGCCCACCTCAGGATCTCTCCTCAGAAAGATTACTAGTTCCTCCTTACCCACCTATAATCCCAGCACTTTGGGAAACTGAGGCAAGAGAATTACTTGAGCTCATAAGTTCTAGACCAGCCTAGGTAACATAGCAAGACCTCGTCTCTACAAAAAAAATTTAGCCAGGTATGGTGGCACATGCCTATAGTGCCAGCTACATAGGAGGCAGAAGGATTACTTAGCCCAGAAAGTAAGGCTGTGTTGAGCTGTGATCGTGCCACTGCACTACAGCCTGGATAAAAGAGTGAGATCCCACTGCAATCAATAAGCAAAATAGTTTTTAAAAAAAAGTTTTATAGACAACGTAGACATAAAATTGAGTAGGTGAGGAAATTCTGGTCGAACAAAATGGTGTTGCCCCACTTTTTCCTGCACCTCCCTGCTAAGCACAACTTTATAAACTTTGGAGATGGCACAAGAGAAAACCAAAGGAGAATTCTGAAGGGCATTTAGAAGAAGGTAAGCTGGTTTGGGAACCTGGGACCAGAAGAGCAGCACAGAGGTGAGGCATCTTGCATCCTCCCAACCAGTAGAAGATGTTTCTTGATTCCCCACCTAGCAACAGAAGGTAGCTGTTGCTCATTCTTCCCTCTAGATCTAATGGAGTCCCTCTGGCAACCTCAGGCAAGGGGACCGATTGGGAGTGTTGGCAAAAAATAAGTGACCAGGGAAATACTCTTCTCTGCTGGACCAGAGACTCCTCTTTTCTGAGGAGAGATACTGAGGTGGGTGGGAGGAACCAGTAAGAGAAACCCAGAAAAAAACAGTGATCCAGTTGGGGAAGGCACTCTACACAGGTCTGAGACTCTCCTCCTGTGTCCAGAGACACTAGGAGTGATTGGTAGAACCAGGAAAATGGACCCTGCAGCTAGTAGCCTGATCATGGAAGCCACTAGAAATCCCTGGAAACCTTGTGGGGAGCATCAACAGAAGGATTTCTTATACCTCTCCCCTACCAAGAGATATCTGGCAACCCAGCCAGGGAAAATTTCTTCTGTCCCTTCAGGGAGCACCAATAAAGACCAGTGAGAGATGCCAGGTAACCCAGCAGAACAAAATAACACTGTCAGGGCTCTGAAAATTAAGCTGCCATTAGAATCACAGATCACAGTCCACAAAAGAAGGCTAAAGCCTGTATGCTAAGCCCAAACAGAGTGACTCCCATGTAAAATAAAATATTTAAAGACTCGGAGTCTCTTAATATAATAGGCAAAATGTCCAGAATAGAAACCAAGAGCCAAGAAAATCACAACTTGAAGGAAAAAGAAAATCAACTGATGCCAACACTGAGCTCAATCAGATGTTGGAATTATCCGAAAAGAAATTTAAAGCAGAAATCATAAAAATGCTATGACAATCAATTATAAAATAGAATATCTCAGAAAAGAAATAGAAGTTATATGGAAAAAAAGAAACAAATGGACAACATAGAACTGAAAAATACAATAACAAACTGCAAACTCACTGGATAGGCTTAACAGTACAGTAGAGTTGATGGAGAATAGAATCTGTGAACTTGAAGACAGAACAGTAGAATTCACTCAATCTGAACAATAGAGAGAAAATAAACTGAAAAAAATGAATAGACCTCAGGGGCCTATGGGGCAATAACATTCATATCATTGGAGTCATAGAAAATTGAGGAGAAAAAAGGTGGGAATAAATATTTGAAAAAATAACAACTGAAAACTTCCAAAATTTGAGGAAAGGCACCAATCTGAGGCAGGTTAGCCAGTGTAGGTTAGACATAGATAGATGAGTTTCTTGCAGGCAGGTCTAAATTAAAATAGGGGAAGTGTTCAGACATCTTTCTTATCAGTTCATGACCTTCACTGACCAGGCATACTGGACCTGACCACCTTGCAGTCTGGAATGTGGATCTTCTAGTACAGTAAATCACAGAAACAATAAACAATTACCCAAAGCACAGACATGGTGTTCTTTAAAAAAAAAAAAAAAAAAAGACACTCAGATCTAACTAGGCAATAACTTTCATTATTTAGAAGGTCCTTGTGACCTTAAAAGGTTGAGCAATGGTAATCAAAACTCGTGACCTGATACCTACTGTCCTCTGCTCTTAGCTCATGGTTTGCTTCATCTTTGTTGTAAAATTGTATAAAATTTCTCGTCAAAGACAACACTTTCTCTTAATACATCCACACTTTTTCTGGAATATGCACTTCTCTTTCTAATTTTTTTTTTTTAGTCAGAGTCTTACTTTGTTGCCCAGGCTGGAATGCAGTGGCTTGCTTATGGCCACCGCAGCCTCAACCTGCTGGGCTCAGGCGATCCTTCTGCCTCGTCTTCCAAGTAGCTGGAACTACAAGTATGCCTGGCTAATTTTTTGATTTATGGTAGAGATGAGGGCTCACCAAGTTACCTAAGCTAGTCTCGAGCCCATGAACTCAGGCAATCCTCTTACCTCGGCCCCCCAAAGTGCTGGGATTATAGGCATGAGCCACCGCACCTGGCCTTTCCCTCCTTTTTCTAATAAATTTTTGTTTTTTGTTTTTTGTTTTGAGTTGAAGTCTCACTCCGTCACCCAGGCTGCAGTGCAGTGGCACACTCATGGCCATCCCAGCGTCGACCTGCTGGGCTCAGGCAATCCTTCCACCTCAGCCTACCAAGTAGCCGGAACTACAGGCACACACAACCATACCCAGCTAATTTTTTAAAAATTTATTCTAGAGATGAGGTCTCACCAAGTTACCCAGGCTGTTCTTGAACCCATGGGCTCAGGCAATCCTTTCACCTCAGCCTCCCAAAGTGCTGGGTTTATAGGCTTGTGCCAACATGCCCGGTCCTAATAAATGTTCTTAAACTGTACTTTGAATTTGCTCTGAAAATCTTTTCTGTGGCAAAACCAAGAACCCATGGAGTAACTACACTGTACCCCACCCTGCATCAAACTTAGAGAGCCAAGAAACTAAATGAACTCCCCAAAAGGAAAAATCCAAAGAAATCCATGCCCAGACAAACACTATAATTAAACTTTGAATACTAAAGACAAAATCCTGAAAGCAGCCAGAGAGAAATAGTGCATTATCTGTAAGGGAGTACCATTTGAATGGATTTTTCATCTGAAACGGTAAACAAGGAAATAGTCAAATATTTTTTAGGTGCTGAAAGAAAAGTGTCAACCTATAGTTCCATATCTGGCAAGACTACCAGGAATAAAGGCAAGATAAAAATTCACAGATGAATAAAAACTAAAAGATTACATGCCTAGCAAACCTACCCCTAAAATATTGACTGAAGTAAACTCTTCCAACAGAAAGGAAATGATAAAAGAAGGAAACTTAGAGCATCAACAACAGAAAGAGCAGAAATGTTGGTTCATGCAATAGGCAATTCTTTCCTTACAAGTTTTAGAAGTCGTATTAAAATAAAAGATTGTAACATTATCTGATACTCAAAACAATTATATTTAGAGGAGG